TTGGGTGCTCCGCATCCAGTTTATAATTGCAGTTTTTGGTCAAGTGCGGTCGTGATTGTCCAACCACTGCTGTGCTTCTCGTAAGCTGTTCGTCGCTTTTGCACGAGACGTCGCTCGTGCCGTCGGGCTGATTTTTCTCGCTGGTAGCACTTCTATTGTGCTACCCCAGGTGAGGAACACATAACCTCCCGCGAGGTCCTTCTCCTCCGTTATATTTTACACTGTATCTCCCCATTATGTGTTATACCGTTGATTAGTGTTTTTTTTCTCGCCACTGCATGTTGTCACACACTTTTGTACTACCAGATTAACTCCCGGAGTCAATACCTGTGACTATTGCGTTTCACGTTCAATTTCATTGTTATTGTTTATCTCGCATTTACTTCGTAGGCCCGATCGACTGTCTCGCGTCTCGCCACTCGCTTGTTGATTTCTCAGCTATTTTCCTCGTTACGTTGGGTTGTGCTCCACCATTTATATTCTTTGTGAAATGTTTCAGGTACGATTATACTGCACCCTGATCTACATCAAATCTGTCTTGCTGTCTTCATCAGCTGTTCAAGTGATAGTGTTACTGCACCCTGATCAACATCAAATCTGTGTTTGCTGCCTTCGACAGCTAACTGATAGTGAAATGCACTGGTGTGGATACGTCGGGGTATGTAAGTACAATTCTTGTTGATATGCCATAGAGTTAAAAATGATTGTGCGACAACCAGCAGTTGTATTTTCACTGTTGCGAATCAGGGTCAGACAGTTCATCTTGTCCGGAGAAACAGTGCCTGAGCAGAAAATGCCTAAGAAAGATGCAGGCATGTGCCCATTTGAAGACCTTCTTAAAGATCTGCTCTGTTGATATGGTGTAAAAAGTGAGATATTATTTCTTCATGCCCATCAGATTACCTTCTTTAATAGAACAAGACTCGTTTTCTGATTTGACTGGGAAATATTATAGAATAAGTTATGTCATTCCATTGTTTGGCGTCATCATGTTTATTTTATTTTTATGTGTATGAATCCTTCATTGTGTACTTTGTGAGCTGATTTTCTGTCCACGGTGGAGTGTTATTTCTTGTGCTAAGATAGGAATTTCATTTATTTTGATAGAAACTAATGTTGTGTGTGGATTTTAATTGGAAATAATAGAGATCCTCTAAGCATTACTCTCATATTGTGTCTTGGTTGTTCTATGAAAAAAAAAAATGTTCAAGCTGTACCATTAATATTCTTTACAAAATGTTTCAGGTGGTATGATTTCCTTGATCATCAGCGTCAGACGTCAGTATCCCTGTCAAGAGGTGGTACAGAGATGGTGAAGTGCACTGACTCTAGCTGTTGTGGTATGTACGATGGTTGCTGACTTCATCATGCCAGTGTTTCCACAGCTGAAAAATCTAATTGTATTTTTATTGTTGCAGGGCGAGGTCATGCGGTGAAACTGCCTGGCAAACCACAATCAACGAGAGAGGACAGACTGAAGAAAACGCAAGTCAGCAAACCTGGTGGAGATCTTTTGGATTCCGTCTTCAGAAGAGCTTTCCTGTTGGTTGTATCGTCTACCTTGATGCACTGATTCACTGTGCAAAGTGAGAAACAATTTTATTCCCGAAATGAAACAACCAAGGCAATATGAATATTCAAGTGTATGGTATAGTTGATTACCTTGAGTTTGATTATGTGAAATGTTTTGCTGTACAGAGTGGGAAACTATTTTGTGTGATGCTGCTGAGGTAGGCTTTTGTTTTGATCATAGGTAGAAATCATATCGTGTATTCCCCTACATGGTAGGATCAGTAAATTTTAAACGTCTCATATCTGTTTAGATTTATCTGTAAGAAACGTGAGGCTTCCAATGCAAAAAGTAGAGATTATTGATACAACTTGTTGTGTGCTGCATTCTTCTTGTTCTAATATCTCTATCTCTATCTATTTAAATCAGTTCCATGTGTAATTTAGGCCAGACAAGGCACAAGTAGATCCATGCATTTTAAAATATTTGATGTTTCCCAAAAAAATGATAGTGATTGTTCTGGAAAACAAACCTCCAAAAAATTATATTGTGAAAATGGACTAGATACCTCACATATGAGGATTCAGATTTCCTTCTTATTGGAGTGATGCTAGAAAATGTTACAAATGAAAGTCATGGTGAAACTTGTTGTTAGCCAAGAACCACTTGATAGGGGACTTTCAGCCTACAAGCCACAACAATTTTCCATTTTTTTTTTTAAATTAGAAAACTTTTAAATACATAATGTAACAGCCAACTTTTATGACTGAAAGTGTTACTTAAGATTCAAACAGAACTGTGGCAACAATAGTACCCTTTTCCATGTGTAAAAAAACTTTCAGTAAATAAATTTGAACAACAGAATTTCTTTGCATTATTTATGAAGGCACACCAGTGCAGTAACTCAAAACCATTTTTAACTGATGCCGGACTCAAACCGTTTTAATGTACTTGATGATAAATTAGGAGTGAGGTTCGGGCATGGCAAATCGTTTTGTCCACAGCCTTGCAATCGCATCGTGCTCGTCTGTTTTCTCATCCCTACTTTTTCTCAATACTTTCGCAATTGAAAGTGTCAGAGGATCAGCTGGAACAGAATAAGTAGGGACCGCTTAAAATGAAAGTTGATATTAATTCAGTTACAGTCATCTTCATTTTTTTTCTGGGTTTGTTTCCCATTGTACCCTTTTGACCCTAAAAAGAGAATAGTACGTACCTTCATTTGCTTCCCCTATGAGCTGGTGAAGGCTTATTAGCACACTCGAAATGGTCATGCCACTTGTCCAGGACCCTCCGTCCTCGGGCAACTTCAAGGTGTCTAGGCACACATTGCCAAGTTTATTGAAATTGCAATGATAAATCCTTGTCTTAAAGATTACCTGCAATGAAACAAAGTTGTCATTTTAGTATCATTGGATGGGAGAAAGTGGTACATTTACACAGACTTTGCTATTATTTCATGGTAGCAAGGATTGTGGCCCTTATTTCCCTGTAGTAAAGTGAAAATGCCACCTTCTTAAAAACAAACTACACAGCATAAAAAAAAAATATGTATTGCAGGGATTAAAAATTATTGATCAAACTTATTTAGATTTGGGGAATAGAAAGTGATTTATGAGAATAACCCCAGTGTTTGACAGAATTCCTCATAATGAATTTTTGGTCTTGTGATAACCAATCTAGGCTTTACGATAACCAGAAAGTTCGATGATAATAAATGTTGCAATTACTATAATTCTGTTCAGACTTTTGCACTAGGTATTGGAAAGTAAGTATATCGTGTGGAGTTCCCTCAAGTTGATTAAAAAGTGCACACCTGGGTAATTCTAAACCACGTTACATTTTCCAAATCTTTATACATGCTGAATACTTATCCCAGAAGAGTGGTTCTTTTTGTCCTTGACCCAAAATTCTGGGTCTGATTTTTGATTATTTTTTTTTAACTCTCAAAACTTAAAGGTATTCATGAAATATGAACCCAAGCCAAATCTGGGCTCTGTAGCTCAAATGGTTTAGGAGATATAATTTGTTAAAGTTTTGAGGGGAAAATAGCGGCTTTTGAAGGTGCTATAGGCATTACTCTATGAATCTGTCCTGTGAGGTTAAATCTGACTACACCATTTGAAAGAGGATAAAAAACTGATTCTAAAACACCAATGCCAAAAAGTTGGATTTGTGTTTTCTACCCTTCGACTACAGGTATCAACAAAATTTAGCATGTTAGCGTAACTCCCATAGCAAAAATAAATGGTCTCCAATTGTCACAGAATTTGGTGTACAGCTTCTT